CCCCAGAGCACCATTCTTTGGTTGTCATTGTCATGAACTGGTAACGTACCGAGATCGTGACATCAGTGGCTCAAAAAGGCTATTAGAAAAAGAGCTATTTCAGCCTCATGTTTACTTTTGGCCTACCTTCAAGCCTGTATTTGTGGTAACTTAAGTGATCAATGTCACGTGACTTAAATATTTGTGTATGGAAACTTTCGCTCGAACATTAAAGAATAATTGTTCTCCGTTTAAAGGAAAGTGGGAACTTCGCTTGCGTCTGTATTGCCAGATTTCGTCGTATGATTTTGGGACGAACAAATATATATTTATCATAAGGAAGTATACTTTGCGTATTGGATGCAAATCCTATTAATTTAAAAGTCTTCTAGTGGATTTTGAATTCTTATTATGTACTCCTCGTCCTTATTTCTTTCAGGTCCCATGGTGTTACGTAGGCATGGTTTTCTCTTGTTTCTGTTGGCATACGGAAGACCATTGGAGTTTTTCCATTAATTACTTACACAGGTAAATAATCTTTTGTTGATGTGCCCCTCTCTTTGCCTTTCAAGCATCAGATTTTGGTTTCTCTCCTTGCTCGACCATTTATTCTTTCTTTTCTTATCTCTTATTCCCCTATTTGAAAGTGTAACGTATTGCCACAGTTAATTGCCTCCTGAACTGCCCGTTATATTTACGCCTTCGAATTTGCTTATAAACTGGCAGAAGTGTTGGTTTGTTGATTTTAAACTTCAGCTGTACGCTTTTTAATTCCTCTTTTGCCAATGCATGTATATGCTCGTCAAAGCAGTTGGTTTTATTAGCTTTCGAAGATCATTTTTGGGACTGTGTTAATGGCACATTTTACCTACTAAGTCTGGTCATGCCTATTCAGAATTATTGTAAAGTTGAATTGAAGCTTGTGATTACAGCTGCAGTACGTCTGCATTCTTGAAAATTCGAAAAGTCAGTCGCAGGCAAGGTACACTCTATTCCTGTGTAAATATGTGGATTGATACTTTTGATGGCTAGCAGGTTTCCGATCTGATAGTTAATAATAGTAATTAGCGGAAAACAACATTTCCAGCGTCGATAATTCAAGGGCATCTGGTGGTTCTGTTCTTAGGCAGGACTGCCACAGCTAATTTAACTTTAAACGCTTTGTACAGTTATCCATAACCATCGCGTTATCGCAGTTCTGGTCTACTTTCATAGAACGTATGAGATCTTTGTTATTTTACCCCATAACTTCATAAAATGCATGAGCAACTTTCACGTTTTTCTCTTTTATTCTGCAAATAGGGGTGAGCCGAAAACATGGTATGGCGTCCCCTCAACCTCCGCGGACGCTTTCGAAGCTGCAATGCGCCAAGAAGTGCCTGAGCTTTTCGAACACTCTCCAGACCTCCTTCATCACATGACCACTCTGCTTCCACCGAGCCGATTGATCGCACATGGCGTGCCAGTCTTCAAGCTGAACCAAATGGCGGGTGATTTTGTCGTCACCTTCCCAAGAGCTTATCACAGCGGCTTTAATCATGGTTTTAATTTTGCCGAAGCTGTGAATTTCTGCCCCGCTTCTTGGGTAAGAATTCTCGTGAAACATGCTTACTGATTAGGTTTTAGTAGCTATGTTCTAACAAATTTTCATTTCACCTTTAAGTTTTCCTCTGGTCGTAACAGCATCGATCAATATGCACTCATTCATCGACCGCCGGTATTCTCACACGCAGAATTGCTCTGCCGAATGGCCGAATCGTTAGACACCCTATCGATAGACTTCCTCGTGGTTGTAACGGACCAGTTGTCCGATCTCTTGGAAAAGGAAAGGTCTCTTCGCCGTCATCTGGCTCGTCTTGGTGTTCGACGTACTGAACGTTTCGTTTTTGAGACCTGCGAGGAGGAACTGCGTGAGTGTATGCTCTGCAAGACGACACTTTTCACATCGGCGCTGACCTGTGACTGTTCAAAAAGTGAGCTGGCGTTTTTGGTTCATTAGAAGCGATATTATATTCATGTTTGCACGACCACTTCAGGTGACCTTGGTCAGTTTGTCGTTCATCCACTATGAACACATTCGGTTTTTTCTGCGAGCCTGGCATTTACTTTATAAACCGTCTGCTAATTATTGTACCCTAATGATGTTTTAGACTCATTCTCTGATAACAGTCAATTCGGCTCAATAGTTCTTGCAGTCCTTGTTTGCCTTTCTTGCTACCCCATTGCTATGGGAAGGCAATCCTTATTTTTAAGGCTATTCTCGAGATTTATGCACAGAAACCTAGTGGCTTTTCTGCGAACACTATAACTACTACTGTGCATGGTGACTTCATGAACTCTTTCCGTAGTCTCAAACCACATCCTTCACTCAGGGTTGTTCGTTGCCATAATTTCTTTCCATTTTGGCTACAAATTGGTATCGGCTTTATGTTCTCCAAGTTTAAGCTATTTATGCCGTTATAAAAATTGGGGCATCAACAAAGTGTCTAAAATAGGACCTTTTGGATTCTGTTGGGACGTATCTCCTCCGACGCACGCGGAGAAAAGTTGTCCATCCTGGTACAACACATCAGCTTACTGAGCTGCATGCATCCAACTAGCCAACCCTGAGAGGGTTCGATGAAATCAAAGGCGCCTGCCTGGAGACCCATGGTTAGAATGTACGGCCAGCTGATGTATGCCGACAGTTCGGC